ATATGTATTCTCAGCAGATCTTGTCTCAATCTTACTGCTAGAGCAACGGCGTGCTAAAGAGCGCTTGTTTTACAAAGCATTTTCACAACTAGCTGAGCTGTTAATGTCACCGCTACCTGATCAGGTTTAATTGTGCTGCTTCTTGCTTTCAGCTTTGGATGACATGCTGAGAATGAAAATCACATACTTTTTCACCAGAAAAAAAAAAAGAAAAAAAAAAAAGCCATGTCTGAAGCAGTTCTGAGTGTGTGTTCCCCCAGGGATTCGGTCACATATTGTTCTGAGCTGCTTTTGCTGCCAAGGTTTGCTGTGGCATTTATTAAAAGATGCCTTCAATATCGGTCACCTTTTGTCACTGCCACGGGTTTAATTGAAACGATGTGTCCCTCTTTCCTAACAATATCACGTTATAATGGCATGTAGTGCGCAGATGTGCTCTTGGCTGTAAACAGGAACTTTTGGAACTAAAGCCACACTTTTCAAGTGAGGACGTGCATGGCCTTAAATCTCATTTTATCTAAAGGGTACAGATTCTTATCTACCAACCTTTTCTTTGTAGAGGAGGACTAAACAAGAAGCATTCCCTACTTTTTGTTAGTCCTAATGAATGCCTTCATACCGATCCACTTTGTACCTCTTGTTCCTTGTGTCTTGCCATACATGTGTGTCTTTTTTTTATTTAAGGGCTGAAAGAAGGGAGTACAAGAGATCAAAGGCTGGATCATGGGTGCTGGCCTGATAACCTTCCTGAGCAGAGCTTCAGGCTCAAGCATGTTTGCTACTTCCTGAGGTTGTCCAGAGGTTCTGTGGCCTCTGGGACATAAGGGCAGCAGAGTATAAACCTTGATTTTTTTTGGTAGAAATAATAGAATTTTAGTGGGAATTTGCTCTTGGTTCTAATAGGAAGGCAAAGACAGACATTCAGGCACAGTGAGGCTTCCACAGGCTGCTCGTGCAGCACATCAGTCTCTTCCAGCCATGCATCTCAGGGAACAGCCAGGGAGAGGGAGGAGCATGTGGTTTGAATGGAGGTAGGCTTTGGAGTTTGTAACACAATTTGGCATTAGGTCAGGTACCTTAACAGCATGTTTAAAGCTCTCTGGGTATAGAAATGCCTACAGTTCCCATGCACTGGTACTGAGGAGCAGGCATCTCCCAGCTCCATTCCCTGCCCCTCGTGTAAACAACAGTAACTCCATGACCTGCTGATGGGGTGAGCTGCTGAGAAGCTCGCAGGGGAGGACAGGATAACTTTGTGCAAGCATGTTATATAAATCAGCATTAATTTCCAAACAGTATTAAATTAATTCAAAGAAACTCTTTGAATATACACGAGTGAAGTGACATACCCGCTCAAGCCTCTGTAAGATCAGTTTGGATCGCTTCGGGGTGTTCACATTCAGACTTGATTTGCTAGATTCAATACCATTTTGCAGGGGAAAAAAAAAAAAAAAGAGAAGAAAGCTTGTGAGTCAGCCCTGTATGCTGAACTGGGAGCGGGAGGGGGGGCGGGGTTAGTTATGGAGAAGATTCCTAAGTCCCGAAAAGCAACACGTTGACAGAAATACTGACAAATCCATAGCTGCAGCGGCATTACCAGCTATAGCCACGCTGCTCCGTGCACTGGGTAATGCTGCTACGACTCCTCTTGCTGTGATCAAAGCGCCAGGATTTCAAACTGAAATTCTTTCTGTCAGACCGAGTAGTCTTTGAATATATTAACTTTAAACCTCCCTAAAAATACTGGCAGCCAGAGTCTGGAGTGCTCACATCACAGTTAGAGAGATCACAAGCCACAGAGGTACCGATTTATAGAAACTGATCTCTTTAACTCATCACTGGGCTTTCCAGCAAATCTGTGCATTATTAACTCTTTAAAGCCAGACAACTGTATTTGTGCAGTTTAAACAAATCAATTTCTGCAGCTGGACAGTCAGGGCAGGCTGTTACCACTGAGAGATTCATTTGCTAGTTCAGAGTGAGATACTTTAAGAAGGGTATTAAATGTCAAAAAGAAGGGTATTAAATGTCAAAAAGCTGTCACAGCAGTTTTGCAGGTTTATATTAATCTAGTCCAGTAGAGCTGGTCATCATGGAGTCAACCCACCACTCTAGTTTCTCCCCTTTTGTCCCTCAGCCCTTGCATGATGCCAAAAGCGTGTGGCACCAGCAGCTGCACCCAGCCTGCTGGAGCTTGCTGAGGTGGGAGGCACCTGCTGAAGCCTGAGCTCAAATCCAGACTGAGGTGTCTCTCTCCTCTTGACACTTTCAGGTGATTTCTCGAGTCCCCCATCAACCCAACGTAAATCAGCCTCAGGACACTGGGACATCTTGCCCACCATTCCCTCCCCAGCCCTGTGCCAGCAGCACGGCACAGGTCATAGCCACAGAGAGCCAGAAGTAAAATCTGAGGGTGATTCAGTATATTCTTTTCTTTTTTTCTACTTCAGTCTTCTAACATTTTGACGACTCTCAGAAAACAATTTGTGGCTTTGCCTGCAGAGCAAACCGAGCCCCAAGGCAGCAGGACGAGCTCTCGCGCATCGCCTGGGCGCAGGCTGCTATGTCAGCAGCACCTCGGGGTGTATTTGTCTAACCTGCTTTTAAAGACTTCCAGTGACAGAAATTCCAGCACCTTCCCAGGCAATCTGGCCCTGCGCCTCTCTGCTCTCACTGTTTGTTAGAAAGATTTTCCTACCAGTACCCTGAATCCTTCTGGCTTTAATTTAAGCCCCTTATCTTGCTGTGAACACGCAGAACAAATTACTCCCCTCCTCTTTGCAGCAGCCTCTTATGTATTTGAAAACTGCTCTCTCACCTTCTCTTCTAAGCTTTGGGTGTTTTCTCATCAGGGCACGTATCAGCTGAGCAGTATCCTTTAAATTTTGGTAGTAACCCAGGTGGTGAGGATGTTTGATAGAGGTCAAATCTTTCACACCAACCAGAAAATTGCTGCAGCACATTTTCCACAGAGAAGACCTGTTGGCCATAGAGCAAATGCAGTGGGCTTCAGAAAAGATTTGGGTTCAGATGCTTTCTGAGTGGTCTTTTAAGGACGGTTTTCAGCTTGGGATGCCCAGAGCTCTGCTGAACGCCTGAGATCAGCCCCCAGACAAGCTTCAGGCAGGGCTGCAAGAGAAAATTCTAGATAGAATAAATCACTGTCCAGTATCACTACTACTCAGATGACCTCTCCAGAGTAAAATTGCTCCTGTTAAATACACAAAAGCTGTAAGATTTGTTGGAGAAATTGTAACTCATTCTGTGCATACTTTAAACTGCTGCATTTAACTTCCTAGCACTGTTGCCAACAATTCAACCATGGTAATATAAACCAGCAAAGGACTCTGCCCTAGACTCTGAGCTATCATTGGGCAGGAGGTATCACCCACAGGAAGGCAGCCAAGCCTCTGCGCCCTTTTCTCAGCTTTAGGTTATTTAAAGCACCACTAAAGGTAAGAGGGCAGCTCGCAGCCCTGGCCCCCTCAGCCTTCCCCGAGCAACCTCTCAGCCCAGCATGTCCTTGGGGAAGAGATCTCCACTCTCAAAGGATCAGATTTTGTCCTCAGTTCCAGTCTAGGGGAAGCATCATGTGAGAGGTGTTGAATAAGAACCTGGGCTGCTGCTTTTGCCTCCAGTTCGATGGCAGTGGACAACAAAACAAAATTTTCCTTTCTGAGTTGCAAATAGCGCTAGGTGCTGAAACAGTAAAAAATGAACCCCAGCTGCTGCTTCTGCTTGGCGCATGAAAGCTGTTGTCTAGATATTTACTGTGCTGATTAAACAGATCTACTACTCTACAATAAAACAGGGTGTTAAGCATTGTATTTGCAATTTCATTACCAAATTACAATTCATAAATATTTGAGAAAATAAGGGCATTTACCGATACCTTTAGTGAGACAGTACAGTTGCTGTATGGCTGCCACTTGCTATCATAAAAGATTACCATGGTGTAAGCAATGCAGTATCTTCTACTTAACAGCAGTATTCTAAAATGACAACACACTGAATCCACTTCTTCTGGCAGGATATATTTTTATTAAGGGTCAGTATAAACTCCAAAAGAAACCTTGAAGCGTTTTTGTACTATCTACCCAAAATAGAAAATCTTTAAACTGAATGCAGCTGAATTTTTAAATAGTCAGGTTTCAGGCACAATGCAAATACCTGCCATTTATAAGGCTAGCAGGTAATTTAAATTCATGAGAGTAGCTATAAACATGCATTGATGTTCTCAGTGGAGAAATGCAGCTCTGAATTACAGGACCAGATCCTAGAAAATACTATATATAAAGTATCTTGGCTCTTTCATAACAATAGTTCATTGCAAATGTATGGAAAACACTTAGCATCTAAAAATTCTCTATATTTAAGCTTCCAGCTAAAAAGTAAACTTTTCAGTAAATACTACAGTAGTGTCTACCTCAAACATTATACTAATTTTCCCAGTCAGCATATCAAGCCCATTCATAAGTGCACACTTCCTAACACCACGGACTATCCAAGTAGTTAACAAAAAATATTAAAGAATTTTCTGGACAATGGAAGTAGGAATGAGAGGTTCCAGATCATGCCAAGTTTTCTGGTCTGTCTCTGTCACCACAGATTTGGTTCTACTTTTATCCCACAAACCAGTGAAAATGTTAGTTTTTCACTCCCTAAGCTTTGTTGTGATAGCATTACTTACCTGCAGTAACAACCTTTAGGTTGTTACATCCATTATTTATAATGTATGTTTCAATCCAGCATGTGAGCTGTGTTCAGATGTGGTGAAAACTCTATATGGTTGAGCCAGAAATACCTATTTAATCAAGCATAATTTGGAGTATGATTCTTCATGCAAAAATAAGAACCTGCAGCTCTGACAGAAAATCAACAGGATTCTTTTACTTTACAAGACATTGTGGACTGTGAGAAGAATACACACAATTACATCGCTCCTTCATTTTGAAAGGGAGTCTTCTACAATGGGCAAAATGAGACACACACTCTGTTCCAGTCTGTTACTCTGAATCGGTCAGCTGTCCCATTCTCCACTGTTCTGATCAGTGCTCTCCTCTTCTTCAGAATCAGCAGACACTTTCTTAATTCTCTGCATGGCTGCCTTAATGCTTTTCTCTAGCTCATTAGTAGATTCTTTACTGGTATCTTTCTCAGTATCTTGATGCACTTTTCTTAGTTTAACTCCTTGCCGTATGGCAGAGAGGATGCTGTCTTTTACTGAGGCATACGGATTCAGCTGTTCAGCTTTGCGAAGACGAACTTCACCACGCTTTAGAGAAGCCAAAACCTCATCCATGGAACCTGCAACAGATGAATCTACTATTACCAGAAGAAAGAACAACACAACCACACCTGGACGTATAAAACCCTACCCAAGGATAGGGTTCTTCCTTTCATCTTTGTTACAGACAGGAAAAAGAATGGTCTGTTCTGGCACAGACTCTTTCAAGCTTCTGCAACACCAAGCTCTGGAACTGCTTTTAAAAAGCAGTTAAAGCTTTTATATCTTGAATTGAGAATCTAGTGCCTCTTCAACAGTATACAAGGTTGTGCTCTAAGGAAGAAATTACACACAAAGGAGGATGCCTCTTTTTCATTACGACTTTATGGGCTTTCAAAAAAATGTCACTGAACCAAAAAACATCTCAGATTCTGCATTAAAAGCAAGCTACCGTTCCTCCTAGCTTGCTCAGATGCCTGCTGAGACTGTCAATTGCATTTTTGCTCAGGCAAGAGAAAAATAAAAGGATTTGAGTAGAAGGGCTTGAAACTGCACCACCGAAGTCAGTGGGAGCCAGATCAGGCCCTAGGCAGATAGGCGGGCAGTCTTTTCTGTATGGACTTAAAAAAATAATTCCCCTTTTACACGATGATTTAAATCTCAGGCATATGTTTCTGAACTTCAGACCACAACGGACACCATACGGTGAGAGCTTCGGCTCGTTCTCTCGATACACACTGTGACCTGCGTTCTACTCCTCTGTCAGACTGTTCGTTGCTAGCTCCACGCCGTCGGACAGGGAGGCAGTCTCCCCGGAAAGCAGTCGACTCCCACAGCCATAGGTCCAGCCCATCTGTGCCTCACAGCCAGAAGGGGTTTTGCCATGTGCAGTGCACTTCAGGCTGTGATTAACATCGAGCACTTGAAATGGAATGTTCTGCTAAATCCTGGGGCACCTTCAGAGACTGAGATGTCAGAGAAGGGTTGAGCAAGGATCCATCAAGGTGTCTTACAAAGCCTTCAAGTAAGAAAGTCATAAGTCTATTAATCAAATGGGCTGCCCAGTAGAAGACCAGTCAGACCAACACATCATAAAAGCAAGTTCCCCTTGGAAAGCATGTTAGCACATTACAGAGGAAATTGTCAACACCAGAATATGAACCTCTCCTGGCTTTTCACATACAAAGTCACGAGTAGTCCATGTGTAACAAAAACCAACCTGTTTATGAAGCTGTTTCAGCAAGTTCCTGTGGTAGTATTTTATCAATTGCTATTACAGTAATTACATATTGGTTTTCTTCACGAAATAAGTGTAAACAACCAATTGTATCTCTCCAATAAACAAAGAAAAGGATTTTTCTTATCAAAAATAATGAAAGGACATCAATGTTCATTTGTGAATGGTAGTAAATATTAGCTACTAGCAGGAGCTGTTCCAGTAGCAATCAAACTACTCTGGCATGTAACTCCTGTAGCTAATGAAAGCTTAAGAGTGTCTGTGGTGGTTACCCTGCGGACCTCCAAGACTAAAGTCCACGCACTGATCCCCTGGGTGCACGGTAGCTGGTCATGGTAAATCGCCTGCAACGGAGGCCTTAAGCTGCTTGCACTTCCCCACATCTTGGAAGAACTGAAAATGCTGAACTTTCCTCGATATTTCTGCCCATGGTTTGCCTATTAACTGAGAGAATACAAAGGCTGCTTAGGTATATTGCGAATAGTCTGAATAGGAAGAGGAATGTACCACATTTAAAGCCATGCTTCATTCTAGCCTAAGCTCCACTGTGAAAAATGACAATAAAAAAATGCTGCCTTCCAACTTAGATCAATCTACCCGACATAGTCAAAATATCTGCTTGCTTTAGAGATAAAAATAAGCCTGTTAGCAGGATGTAACCAGTGCAGCCTTGGGAGGCTGCTGAGTTCTATTCTCATTCAAACTACTGTTTCAATTGCCAAGTTCAGCCTCCAACTACACCTGCCTGATCTTGCTAACAAAGCAGAGGTGTAACAGAGCAGAATTTTTGCCCTAGGAACGTTAGTATGCCAAGCTATCCATCTGCCTTTCAAATCGTGGCTGAATTCTGTGTGAATTCTCTTAAGAAACCTTTATTTAGAAACCAAGTAAAGTGTAAGTGGTCACAGGCTGTGCATACCTTAGAAATGGCATTAGCCCAACTGTTAGCTCTGTAGTACATTAATCATAAACACTACAGTGCAGCCTTAGCACAACCACAAGTTTACCCACAGTGGTCTTCTGACTGGGCAGGTGATTAATCCTCAATCAAAAATGCTACACTTGGTTCAAAAGTTGCAAAACTGTGGCAAGAACAAATCTACTAACGAAAGCTGGAACACAATGAACAAACTTCCTCTCCTTGCATTTTCTTCTGACACGTTCCTGCCTATTACAGCAGCGGGATTTTCAGAATCATGAGAAATGCAAGTCCTGAATTAAGATCTCCAGAGAACTAGTAGTGCTGTGATTAAGCATGGTTTGAACGAACTTGTAGGGCTGTACTTATTAAATGCAGGAATCCAGCAGATACAACTTCAAATGTCCATGGACCTGTCCCATTTGACAGCACTTCCCCAAAACCAGTGAGTCACACACTCTGAGCATCAGGACCCCGTGAAGTGTACCAAACAGGATACACAAATCTTTGTTACTCATTTAACATCCTGAGTTCTGGTCTGTGTTATTGCATGTGGTTTCTTAGACAAAGCTTTCCAAGAGCTTCATTCTCTTGAGCAATACTGTGCACTACTCCTATCCAGAATCAGAGGGAGGCAAAACAGAAAAATACAGGAAATGAAGAAAAAAACACCAGTTGATGTGAGTCTTCTTACCTATGTAATTATTTACAGACCTCCTGGATGACTCATCCTGTTTGTGCAGCACACGGCCTTCCGTGGGGCTATCGGAGCTAAGGGGAAGTGGCTTATCCTCTGCTGCTGCTGGCATCTTTAACTGGAGAGGTAAGGGGGGAGGAGGAGGAGGAGGGGGTAAAGGAGGAGGAGGTGGAGGAGGAGGTTGTGTTGAGGATGCAGAAACCATCGATCCCTCACTGTTCTTTTGTTGCTCTGTGTCCCCATCAGTAACAAAAACCTGGACAGGGGTATCTGGTGGGGTATTCTGATGTGAAGCTTTTGATTCCTCAGCTTCTACTAGCAGGATGCTCTTTGGCTGCTCTGGAGCTGCCCTCGCTCTCGACGAGCGTGGAGGGGACGGTACTGCAGCCTGCTGAGTGATGCTTCGTGGCAACTTGGGACTGAGAGGCTGAGGACAAGACGTTTTCAGAACAACATGATCTGGACACTTCTGAAAAACAAATCGTAAGGGCAGGAGGTCATATCTCCATTGGACTGGCCAAAATATCAACCTCAAGGAGACAAAAAGCCATAGAGTACACACCTGTCCCTCTCAGCCACTGAAGGAAAAAATTCAACCCTGAACAGACTTACACGAGTATCAAGATATTTCTTTCAAAGCCATTTCCTCACTTGTATTCTTTGCAAGAGGTTCTGCACCCAGAAACTATATCCTTAGAGGATTTAATCCTCTTGATTCATTACACACAACCCTGCTTTAGACTGTCCACATGGTTATCTCGGATTTGGACCATGCTCACAGGTGTGCTATAGCTAATTTTTGACACCGCATTTTGACACCATTTAGGACTACTGTAGTTCCCAGTACTTGCCTCCCTGAATGTTTTCAGCCTCTCCAGTGTTTTCTGACGTTCCTGGCTTATCCAAGCTTTTTTCTTTTTCTCCTCCTCTTTTTGCTTGTCTCTCTTCTGCATTAAACACAAGTAAGTGACCGTTAGTGTGTGAAAATAGGCAGCTGCCAGATTCTCCAAGACTGCCGTTCAGTACTCACTAATTGTATGCTGTGATGTTGCAGGAAGCGTTTTTTGGTCTCTTCCGCCTGTTGCAGTCTCTGTCGATGGCTTGCTTCACACTTGTCCTGGTAGAACGACAAAATTCATGCAACCTTTGGTTAGTTCACAGTCACTGTGCACCATCTGTGCCACTAACTCCTGCACACGTGCCACCAAACAGCGACCAAGGCTGAGAGCTTGGCTGTCCCAAGAAGGATGGCTAAGCTCAACTAGTGGCAGATGTGAGACCCTGAAGGTGAATGATGTGGGACTCCTTCATGACTAAAGCCAGTGAGATCCTTTGTTCTCCTCATTAGCAATAGGATTATTTATGCTGCAGAGGCAATATAATCAGGACCTGAACAGATCCCCCTGTCTCACGCTTAAGTTGAAAAAAAACCAACCAACCAACCAACAAACCCTAGAAATTTCGAAGGAAATTTCACTCAAGTACCAGCTGGAGGAAAAGGAGCGTAAAGACTTGAAGCAGAAGGCAAGAGGGAAGCTCACAGGGCATTACAAAAATACAAGACTACTTTCCCCATCCCTTATTTGCCAGAGCTCCCAAGCACAGAAGCCAGGGAACAAAGGGAAGCACAATAAATGCCTGACAGGGGTACCTTCTGTTAGTAACAAAGTGCCACAGAGAAGCTGCAGGCTTCAATATTTTCTCTGGGAGTCGCTATTTGTCACTGTACAGAGGGGGATTATCCAAATGGGTAAGCGTTTGCAAATCATCTGGTGTTTGGCTTTAGTGTTATATAACCAACAGACAGCAATTACGTGAACGAAAAAAAGAAGCACAAGCAGTGTCTGTCGAGGAAGCAGTTGCAAGCAAGAGACAATGATGGCTCACAAAACATTTCCAGTGTCATTCCCATTTGTCCAGGCTAATGAGGGGCAAAAGGCCAGACAGACTAGAGCTTAAGCTCTGCTCTCTGCCCCAGCACGACTGTGTAGGCGTAAGGTAAACTCAGCTCACTGGGAAAATTCAGGAGAATCAAGAGCAGTCTCACTCATGTCTTCCCAGTGTTCTGCTCTGAATGGGAAACAAAGGAAAAATACTGCTCTTTGTGCAAAAATGAAAGGCTGGAGAGAGAACTGCAGCAATTAAGTTTTCCCCTCCCTCCCATTCAAAGGTAAAGTATCACTGTGTGGGCTGTTCCATCAGTGCAGCTTCCTTCACTGCAGGCCAGGTTTCCTCCTGTACTGCAGCTGCTTTGTAAGAGGCTGCCAAGGCAAAGCTCCAGCTGGCCAACAGCAGGGCTCTGGTAAGGTTTCGCTGATAGAGGAGCACCTCCTGGGTCACCCGTGTAAGTTTGTGCTCTCTTAATAAGTTAGAGAGGCACTTGCACCACACAGTGGAGTGTAAAGCTGGCTTAAAATCACATTGCTCCTCTTTCAGTGTGGAGGCCTTGGCACCGAGTCACGTATGATCTTGTACACTCCACCCAAAGCTTCCCTAGTTGTTTCCTGTCCATCCCTCGTGATTCAACACATCAGCTAAAGAAAATGCACATCTCCAGGACTGCATTTACTTTTTTGTTCCTGAGGTAGGCTCTCCTCGCACAGACAGTCCCACGTTTTGTCTCCAACTGCTTAGTCTTCTGCCTCAGCATCGTCATTTCTGACAAGTTAGCGTAATGTTGTCCCATTGTCTGTTCAATGACCTTGAGCTCCTCAGGATTTTCACATGTATCATAGTAAACAACTTCATCCTGTTTCTCTAAAAAGGCATTTGGCATTTTTTTAAAAACCCAAACATTGCCACAGTTATTTAAACATTCAAAGAACTAACGACATTTTAAAAGCCATTGAAGGCAGTGAGTTAGTTATTAGAAAGTGTAATGCTCCAGAGCCCAGCTTGGTCCTTCAAAGTCTTACACAAACATGTCACGTTACTCACAGGAGTGCTTTGCAGGATCAAATTTATGCTGTTAGCATTTGTTGTTATTTAGCTTCCTCCTTCAAATGTCTCTCTGAGCTTTAACTCCTACCTTCACCAACTGCAGTTTTCCTGGAAAACTGAAGACTATTCTGATCAACACCAGGTGACTTGTTTTCCTATTTACCAAGTTTCAGTTATACAACAAGCAGGAGAAATGTTTACTTCACAGTGTGCACGGTAATAGAGTTCATAAGCACAAATAAGCATTAAACAAGACTGGTGCCTGATTTGGTCACCAGTGTTACAAAGAGACACTTAAACTGGAATTAGCAAGAATCAAGTGCCATCTAGCTATAATCATCTATTTTAATCATTACAGCAAGCATTTTGTACTTTCTACATGTTGTATTACAACAGATGTGTAATGAATTTCAGGGCCCACTTCAGCAGGTCTTGATATCCACAGTTTCTATGGGTAGGTCTTCTAACTATGAGAGTAGTTTAGTATTTTCAGTGTAAGTTATCCCATATGCTACACCAGTGCATGCATGTGTCACAGTTGCTGTCAAGATGAGCTACCAGTGTGGCTTTTTTTTTAACTTGTATTATCAAATTAGAGTCTAATTAGTCAGAAGACAAAATATCAGGCAGTGCCATTGCAACAATGTTTCCCAGTGATCCTTTCTACTACCAAGACCTGAGCAGTGATGATAATCTTCTTTTTTTTAAGTGGAAGCAAAGCAGGCTATATCACTCCTGTATTTTGAATATGTGCTTAAATATTTGTTTATTCTTACCTTGAATCTGCCTTCTTAAAGTGTCCAGCTGTACAATAAGCAGCATCTCTTCATGTTTCAATACTTCAAGCTGTACATTATATAATTCCAGCTGTGTTTCATAATACTGTATTTCCAGTTCCTCCACTAGAGTTAAGTTCTCTTCTTGTTCACTGAGATTCTCCATCTGTACAGCCCCAAATAGAAAACAAAAAGCATTAATTACAAAAAATGCACGCATTTCGAAGGTTAGTATCACAAATGCTTATGTGATGACTGAACTGCAAAAGCCTGTATCTTAACCTTTGCTAAATGTCCTCGTATGTGCAGGAGTGATTTAAAAAAACTGGAGACATGCATTTTTCCATAACCTTGTCGAAAACCTATGCTGTTTCAAAGGCAAAGAGTTAGAAAGTCCACTCCCATGACCACTTTGGCAGGGATCAGCCCTTCACAGAACAGTGACAAAGGAAACTTTGCAAGATCTTACATTTTTCTGAATGACAGCTCTCTTCTGTTTCAGGCACAGCTCTCTCGCCCTCAGATGCTGAAGGGTTTCTTTAGCCAACATACATTTGAGGTTTTCCAGCCGTGGCAAAGCTGATGCCCAGGCAGTTTTGCCAAATCTTTCCTGATCTTGTTCCATCTGCTTGTGCATCGCTGCAGATTAAAACACGGCAGTAAGATATGAGAAATGCAGTGTATTAATAGCCCCTGTGTTCCTATTATAGCTGCAGTACCAAAGCTGCTGGTGCTATTAAACGATCTCTGAAGCTTCTTTAGAAATTACAAGACCAAAAAGTTGAATTTAGGATTCCACATAGTTAAGTAAAATACTTCATTGTACCATGAAAATATGCCTTAACAGTTATACAGCTGTTTACTCAGTTAACATGCTGACATCCTTGAGGCTTCCACATTAAGCGTTAAAAGTGTGCACGGTTTTTGTTCAGAGGTTTGCAGTCGCAATTCTCAGGCCTCGATAACATTTGTTTGCCAGCCAAATGGGAGTTGTAAACCAAATTGATTAAAAGAGATAAATCTTAAGTGAATAAAATGCTTCTTTCTTACGCTGTGCGCTCATTCTGACCTCAGGGTCTGAAGAGAAACCAGCAAAGGTGGTAAGAACAGCTCTCAGTCCCTAAGTCAAGTAATTTTGTGTAAATTTACACAACATTTTGTGTAAATCATTCGGATTACCTGCCACAGCCTTTACAGTTTCTTTGAAGTAGTTCACTGTGATATCCTGAATGGAGCACACAGCATTCTCAGCTCGTTTAGTCCATTCTTCGGCATCTTTCTGCAAAGCTGCTACCCTTCTAGGCCCCAAATGATCGTACTGTAAAGATTTCTGCAAGGAGACAAAATTCTCAGTTACCAACTGGTTACCACAGTGGTGCAGCCTGCATTATGCTATACTTGGAGACATTTTAAGCGAGGCAGAGCATGCTGGCAAACATGACCTTCCCCTCACAAAGCAAGTCACTACTCATGCCTACACATTGCCTTGTCCCTCATTCTCTAGGCCAACTCAGAACCTTTGTTCCCCAATCATGACTTCATGCTTAACTTTGGATTAATTTATTTTTTTAAAATATTTTTAAACTGCCATCTTAAAAATAATTTCCAACACAACTGTTTTCAGTTGTTACTAAAAGTAACTCAAAAGCACTCTTCTACGTGCAATGTTCTCTTCTATTTTTCAACATGTGTTGACAGCACATTGCACTGTCAGGTTCTCCAGTTTGGCAGTTCTTTCACACACACACAGAGATATAGAGAAGAAACGTTAAGAGTCCACAAAGCGTACATGGATACAAGACTATTATTCACATATATTTTAAAAAATGGATTTTGAATGAGTCTAAATATCCCTTAGAGGATTTTTCTTTTTAATAGAGAAAAAAATCTTGTCGTTTCATCCAAAATTTCAATGTTCACTTTAATCTTCAGTACAGCATACACATTTGGACCTTCAGTATCCAAGAACCTTTGTCTGAACTTAAAACTGTTCTGTACTTTTCAAGAACATTAACAGCTCACTGTAATTTTAACAGGCGATTGAAAGAGAAACCCAATCAGTAGCTGGCTGTGTTTTCCAGGAGCATCATAACTTTCAGTATGTGCTTCCAGTTTAAGATGCACATAAAATTAAATGAACACACTGACAACCGGCCTGTTTTAATTTGTATTTCTAGGTTGTAGCAGCAACAGAAAAATGCTTTGTGTCTCGTAAGGTCTCCTCTACCTTCTGGTCTACTACCACAACTGAGTTAATCTGGCACATCAGCGTTGCTGGGAGATGGCACTCCCAGTGTCACAATCTAATCCCACTGAAGGTGGCACAACAAAGGCTACTTAGCTCTCTGTAAATTCAGCCTACCAGAAAGTAAAGCTCAGAGAGGTGGAGCTTGGGGATGTTTTCCTTTTAATTCCTTAAAAGAGAGGGAAGTGAGACCCTGGTGGGAAGACAGCTGCCACTCTATTCAATGAAATCCTCTTGGAGTGTTCTGCCCCAACTCTGAATTTCTTGGTCATGTTTGGTGCCTTGGCAGAGGAAAAAGTAGATACATACACAAGTAGGGAATATTCAGTGACTTGAGTTCAAACCACTTCAAGAGCAGCTGATGCCCTACTGTGTAACTCAGCCTTTCACTCTGTACAGGCAGACCTACCAGGATTTCCAGTTTGTACAGTGTTGCCAGCTCTCGCATATCTCTGAAGGGCTGCAGTAAATACTGGTAGAATTGTGTTGCCATGGTGACCAAATCCTGATAAGCTTCATCTTCTTCTTCATAAACCTTCATCAAAGCCACCATTGTGTCAGCATTTTTATGCTGCTCAAGAACCTAGTGGGATAAAAGGGAAATCAAGCTTAGCTGCTTTGCATTCGTGGGTGCTGATCTCTGACAGGCTTTGGTAGAAAGGACCTGCCCGTTCATCATTCAGTGACCAGGCAAGACTCCCCACCGCAGAGGAGGTGTCCATCAGGCATTCAGCAGCCACCTCTAGCTGGAAATATCTTTTGCACTACATCGATAAAGGCAGTAATTGCTGCATATTGTGTTGGGAGACTGCAAGGAGTATCACGCCTAGGGTTTCCTCCACAGCTGTGCACAGTCGACTTGGTTGTTGCTTTTTATAAACACAAATGGGAAACTGGGGAAGTATGTGTACTGGCAGGACAAGTAAGGTATTCTTACAGTAGCTCCTGCATTGCTTCAACAATTACTAAACGCCTGCTGATAAGAAATCAGTTTCTGGATCCAGAATTTCTGAAAAATCAGACTGACATTTAAAAGCAAGAATTCAGAAACAGATGTCTATTCCTGATACACCTGCAGTCAAATTCCTTTAACATTTGTGTAATTCATAATAGTTCATTTTAATCTCAGTTCTAGAGATATTACACTTTTAACTAGTAATTCTTCCACGGAGCAACTGCCTTTCTGATACACTAGTCCTTATTTAAGGTCTTTACTTGCTTCATAACAAAATACAAAGTTGGAAACTTCCCCTTAATTGCATTTGTCTACTGGCACCAATCAAAGTTTCAGAGATTGTTCTTTGACAACAGCTAACAGAGACCACGGTGTGCTCTATGTGCCAGGATTGAGTGAGCCAGCTGAGAGAACACTGCTAAATTCCACAGAGAAATACAGACCTTCCTGGAAGGACAGTGTTTGCTCTACAGCTCTGTAAGGAGGGAAGGGAATAGGGGGTGTTTGGTGCTACAACGAGAAACATAAGCTTGATTGTGTTGCAACTGAACAGCACTGAGATTAAGCCATCACCTTTGCTCTTGCCAGCTGGGACTGGGTAAGATAGCAGAAGCAAAGTTCCCAGCTGTGGAGGCATCTCCCCAGGGAAAATCTGTGGAAGTCAGCTCAAGGGTATTTCCCACCCATCCTCCCTCAAGGCCTGGCACAGGCAGAGCAGGGGGAGAAGAGGATCTGAACTGCAACATTCCTCATAATTCCACAAGTCCTGTAGCCCCTCAGGCTTCCCCAGGAGCTCGTGGTAGCTCAGACACAGTTCCAGGGCCCGCTCAGAACAACTCAACAGCCTACTTTTTCCCCAACTCTCAGCCAAACAGAAACACAACAGTAGACTTTCTGGTTCCCAGACTCAAAGCAAGTGGTGAGGGTCATGCTGCTCCTTGGAGGATGTTTATAGTAAGCACAGGGGAAGCATTAGTGAAATTTTAAAGCCAGCTCATGAGACAATTATGTATTATGATGGTCTGGGGTGGGTTGGGAGGGCAGGCAACAGAACTCTGGTTCGCCACTAGCCCAGCTGACTGCTCTGGCTGTTGTAACAATACTGCTCTTGGGTTTTTTTCCCTTGTCTTTGAACTCATACACACACACAGAAGTTATTTACACAACACCACCTTCCTCCACCTTGCAGTGGTATTTTCTGTATTCTTCAGAATTAATTTCCTGGCCCAGAGGATGAAGTACTTGAGAAAACACAGATGTAAAAAGGGAAGACGGATGCTCTGATACTGATGGCTAGTTCCGGACTAGAAGAGGCAGGTTTTATTTCTTAGGTCTCGTGTAACTTAGTCTAGATCACAATATAATGAATTTACACACCTGTTAGGCCTGCAAGGGTAAAAACACTCTATAGCATGTTTAGCCATATCTAAAATATCTTTTAAAAGGTTAGAATAACTGAGTTGTACTTCACCACCCAAACTGCTATGTGCTTGTGCTGCTTGGAAATGAGCATGGTGGTTAGAATGTATCTCTGACTGGGCCATGAACAGTTATAGAAACCATTGCTTTTGTATACAACACTGTACATGATCTTCACATAAACTAAAGCTGTCTTTTTAAAGTGTCTGAAACAGTAATGTTGCAGCTGTTAAATACTGAAATAGGAAACAGAAGGCTAAAGACAACTGTCTTAACTTTCCTCCAAAGCACGATCATCTTCATAAAATAACCTTTCAGCTTACTTTGCCAGGAAATAGACCACAGATACCAACAGAAAACTACAGCAGCAACACTCTGGTGAGCTTAGTATCGCTAAGTCTTGTTTTAACATACCAATGTCCTAATTGCAACTATGTTAAAATACACCTTTAAAATACATTCTTTAAATTCATGCTTACTACAAGGAAGGGAAAAATAATTCAGGAACACATCTACAACATGAAACTTACGGTACTAAAGGGAGAAAGGGCTAACATCATCATTAGTTCACACAATAATTGGGCCAGAATTTAGCACTCAAAAAAGTATAACAATTTCTCCGACTACAACACACCGCTTCGGTACAGGTCCATGGCTACGTTTGGTTTTAATAAAAAAAAAACCCTTGAGAATCCCTCAGTTATAGGCATTACTGCAAACAGGCAGCCTGAGACCTTTAGAGGGAAGTTTGAAAATAAGAGCATGAATTGTACTCTCCCTTCCAGTTACCATCACACCCATTGCACAACATTGATGGATATTTTTAGCAACATGTTTTTGCAGGAGTACTTGCAGCTTAAGTAAGCACCCCAATGTCTTATACCAACTGCCCACCCGGAGCTGGCTTATTCCCCACTTAATAAAGCAGGCTCACAAAGGCTGGTGACACTCGATACTTCAGAAAGTTGACTTGGCGGTTTCCAGACAGTCCAAAGAGTGTTTGTGTAGGCACTAACCTGAACACTGCACCTCGCTATGAGCAAGGTTACATCGGTGACTCGATCACCCCTGCTAGCATTGCGCAAACGTGAGCCTGACCCGAGCGACTGGAGCCTTCTGCAGCAGAGGC